ATAATTAAAATTATAATAATTAACGATTTGTTAAACTTTAATGTAATGAAATTGTGTGCACGCATTAGGAACCGTCTCAAATTGTCACCATACGACTATCATACAATTCTTATATTAAAATATCACTTCACTTCGAAAAATATAAGCATTGGTGTATTGTTTGAGCTTATAAATAAATATTAATCCGATTGTCGTCATTTTATTTGAAGGTTTTATCAAAATATTGAAATCGGGTAGATAAATTGTTTTCTCTTGTCGAGCTAGAACATATGATACATAGGTATTATATGTTTTATGATTCAACATAGTTTAATAACGTATACAACAAAACTAGAATCAATGAATAAATATCAATAAAACCCATTAATACGTCATAACCTGGTAACGCGTATATTGGTTATATATATTTTCATTTGCTGCCAGTATTGAGCTACGTCTATCACCTTTTGCAGGTTGTTCATCAGATCATCTTTTTTTACGGGATTGGCTTTGCTGGGCATGCAAGTATAGGTGCTGTGACGTTGCCTATTCACATGTCCTCATGTACAAGTTATTTTTTGTTTCTCATTTCCTCATTTTCGTATATATTTTTTTAATCGTTCTATTATGTTTATCCTAGACACATAAGGCCTAAGAAAACAACTACTATCATTTCTAGTCATTTTTTTTTTAATTCCAATGTCTACTCGTGCATGTAATACATCACTCAAGACTTATATCTTCCAAAATTCTAACTGATGGTGTATAGGACAAGCATGGTGCAAAGTTGTTGCGACGGAAAGCACTGTCATATTTTATACATTATTTGATGTCGACTAACTACAACGTAAATGCTAGTCGCCGGTTGTTGTTTGCGCCGCATCACTATTGTTAATTTGACGTTTTTTGTAAGACAATTGCACATCGTTCGATTTTTGAAAACGTATTGTGGTTAAAACCAAGCATTATTTTTAGTGCTAAAGAATTTTTAATAGACTTTGATCGTATGCAGTTTTTTTAAGAATTGTCGATAACAGTTTTCAGCCAATCAAACTTTAAAACTGTCATTACATTTGTTTACATTAATTTAAAATTGTTTCACTGTATACATTTTTTAATTTTTTTCGGTTATACGAGTACATCGTTTACACATCAACCGTTTAAAAGGTTGCACATAATTTGCGCATCAATTTTATTTAACCATAGAATTGAAATAAAGCGTATACCTAGGAGCTTAAGTTGTTTTTAATTGTAATCTTAAAATGTTCAAATATTGTATAAGTAACTATTTCTGTTTTAAACTATATTTGTACCGTAGAAATATTGTGTAGGTAATCAGTTAGTAATAGAACACGATGAAATCAACAACAGTAAAATGTAATGGGACATTACAACATAGGTACCAACTATTGATTTATAATATTATTTTTAGTGCTTATAATTAATTGATTTTTATGCAATTGGTGTTTTAATGATTTATACTCAAATTTTATGTATATTTGAGTTTTAACTATGATTATATAATGTGCCTAATTAAACAATATTTGTTTTATACCCTTCTATCGTTCAGAATATTAGTGCGCATTTGATGTACGATAATTTTGTGCAGGTAAACAGGCAATGTGCAAATGATATACGGCCATGCGTGTAATATTATATTACTCAATAACTTACCGAACCCGTTGCTTTGAGATAATAATAATGAAAATCATTTTTCTAGCTTCACAAGTTACATATTTTTACCATTTTTACCATATCATAATATTGTAATAAATAAAACTATTTTTTAATCGTACAACACTCGTTTTTCTAACTCATTGCGTTTTTAAGTGCTCATAAAATGCATCGAAGTACCAATTAAAACTATATTAAACATGCTATTTGTTATATTTCATTTTCGCTGTTATTTGTTATCCGTTTAATTGTTTTTGCTTCATAAACCTTTATATACTGTTTGGTCTTCTGCAAACTCAATTTGTTGATCTTTAACACGCCTATGTAGTAGATACCTATGTAATATGTACCAGAAACTATTATAGGTATAGCTCGATAACCGATATATTTATGTAGACAATTAATTCACAATTAACAATTGATGCAGCCACCTACTCTATAATAGTATCTGCAGTCACCTATAATTATTGATTTTTTTTAAATTTATATATACGCCTCAACTCCTAAGGTCATTGGCGTTTCTGATTGAATTGTTCATTATGGATTCTTCTGAATTTCGAAAATGTATACTAAATATTTTAAGTATGATACATGAAAGATTCATATTGTTAATTTAATTGCGATACGATTAATCTATTTGTGTACATATGTTATATTTTCTGGATCAGATTCGTCTTTTTGAGTATTTGAAGAAAAATGGATGTTGTCTCTGGGCTGGGTTCTAGTTGTACATTATACATAGGTCTTAGAGGAGTATCAGTCCATGTGTGGGGTCCTTCGCCTTAGGTATAACCTTCTTCGGTTATCAAGTGTTAAACTGCACAGTTGTGGTGTTCATATAATTATTATATAATTATTGCTGCCTTACAATAAACACACATTGAAAAATCATTCGAGAACGGTAATGGCATAATATGACATGGTCTGACATTGGTGAAAAATTCACTCTGTACACGTGGTATGATGAGTATAGCAGATATTATCAAATGTTCATATCTGCGTGAATATGCCGAAGAAAAACGTGGCAATTGCAGTTCAACATAATATAATATAATATGATTGAAGCGTTTCGAGTTAACGACGTTTGTATAGCCCACTACAAAAAAAAAAAAAACAGTAATAATAAATAAAAAGAAGAAGAAGAAGAAGTAGAAGAAGTCGACTTACTGATTCGGCCTCTAGTCGTTGACATCACTTAACCCCGGTTTAGAAAACTATCGCCGCGGACCGCGCGGATTATTAACTCATTTTTATTGCCGTCCCATAATGGTGGTCGAATTCATTAAGCGGGTTCACTCGCGCGCCGCACTGTTTCTATATTTAATATTATATATATTCGACTCACTCACACACACACACACACACACGACTTGGGCTGGCCAAATGCAAATTTAACACCAGCGTCGATTTGTGCAAATTACAAACAGTTTTACTCTCTGCAGTACGATATTACGTATATTATGATATGATGATATCGTGCATTACGCTGTGCGTACTCGTTTAATACTAAACACATTATTAAAATTATGACGTGTATGACGTACTATATTTTATTATTGTCGCCATCGCAGTGTGGCCGGAAAACTGGCCGGCGACGTCTTGTCGAACACGAAATTCGATACATATATGATAGCAGCTATCAGGCTATCTTATAATATCCATGAAACCCGCATATTATGTATATTGTAGAAGTACAGGGTGCTTAACGGGGACGAAACGACCGCGACGTCTCGATATCGAATTTATTCATTTTGTTTTATTGTTCATATTTAACATGGTCGACAATGGTCATTAATTACAATTTACATTACATTTATGTTTAATTATTATTTCTTTTTGTTATAAAGGATGTTTCATAAAGAACCAAGTTTTTGAAATGCCGGGTAATTTGTTGTTGTTAGGTTAGTGGGACTTTTTTTATAATTTCTGTTACCTATGGTTGTTGAGGTTTTAGTGATTGAACAATATATTGTTTATTTTGCGTCATGGAGCTGTAAAACCAGGGGTAAAACCCATTATGAACTCTGAGTTGTGGTTAACTGTTAGGAAACGTCTTACACCGTGAAGCAATAAATAAGCAACAATAAAGTGGCTGGTCAGTAAATTTGAAGGGACAGGATCAATTGCAAAATCAAAGAGAAAAATTGAAAACCCTCGGTTGTTTCATAAAGAACGCATTTTTTAATTTTGATCTTTAATTTCGAAATCGATCCTGCATCTTCAAATTTACTGTCTGAATAATTTTCTGCTTTGGGATATCAAATTAAAAATGATCATTTTCCTTCAAAAGTGTAAAAACTTAAAATAGATGGTAAATATAATATTTTCCAAAACATTTGTTTTGTGACGACCTTGACGAGTTGTGTGAACGAAATATTTTCAAAACCGAAGGATCATCAAAACGGATCATCCCGTATATTTTTATACAAATGATCGCATTTCTAATATACAATATAAATAATTATCATAAGTTATGAGAAATTCAATAGATAAATAAATAGTTTTTTTAATCAATGGTGTTATAAATAATTTGTATATCACTTTTGTGCACACGAATTACCGCGGGTGCCGATCGCCGGAAACGGGATACTACTGCAGTGGTTTTGGATCGGCGTCGTCCTCAGACCGTGACAAACTCCGCCGCCGGCGTTGCATCGAAACCCGAGTGTAGAAAAATGACTGTCGAGGAAGCCGTTAATCCTTGTGACAATGTAAAGGAAGGAAACAACGGTTCATCGGTTCCCTTTTGACTGATTGAACTCGTTGCATGGGGAGACGACACATCCAGCGAGGTAGTTGCGGTAGATGTTAAAAACAAAACGAAACGAAAAAAAAAACAAAAACAAAACATAACACAATAAATTACCCCGCCGAGGGGAAACGCGAAAGAAAAGAACCGTATCCCGTTCGAGCTGTAGTTTATAGTGGACGTACAGTAGAAAACCCTCATCGTCATCGTCGCATTTATTTCATATTATTTTGTTTATTTCGTTGGTGCTGTACAGGCCGAAAACATACTTTTTTACAGCTCGATAAAGACAATAATAATAATAGACACGAGTAATAATATTAATGATTACGATGGGTACGAGTATATAACGATAATAGCGATAAAAATTGAATACAATCTACTAAACAGAGTGTATTATTATATTATGCACGTTATAATATTACTTGAATATAATATAGTATACATTTTTGTTTGCTATAATTTTTTTTTACTTATGAAATGAGTATAAAAATAATATGACGTCGGTGTATCATGTATAATATATAGTACGCGCCTGTGCTCACAATTTTTATAATACTTTGCATGTGATTTTAATTTTTTTTTTTTTTTTTGTCAGAATCAATCAATGTCATTGACTCCACACTTGCAAGGATCCACGTCGCCGGTCTCTACAGCAAACGACGGACAACTCGGACCAGGTACAATAATATTATTGTTGTTATTTAATATAAGGATGATTTTTTTTTATAACTTCACACGATTCGGAATGAGTACTTTGGCACACGAACAAACTTCATGTGTCAAAAAACTAGTCGACGGTAACAATATATCTATCATTATCTTATCCTAGTATGGACTCTACAAAGGGTCTATGCATGATATACATGCAACATGTTAATATCAAAACGTTAATTAATCGTTACTTTTTTTTATGTTCGGCCATCACAGTACCATACTTTATTATTAAAATTTAAAAAAAATTCGAAGAAGGAACTCTACTAGTGGATGTTGAGTGTACCACGTCATCGCTGTATATTATGCTCGAAAAATGATTCTGAGTATAGGTGGTTTGATATCTAACCATATTCATTTATTATGACAAATTAATATTAATTGGCATCGGTAATTTATTTTTTTAGTAGTAGTACCTATGGTAGATTGTTATTAATTAGAAACTTTGTATACAGTGTTTAATCCTCAACCATTCAAATTTTAAATTTGAACTAAAAAATAATTTTAATATTTTCGTGGCTTTGACGAATTTCGTAAAAATTTTATCTTTAAAAGCATTTAAAAAAAAGTTTATCAACTAAATCCAATTTTCTACTAAAAACCTCATCAAATTTGAAAATTGGATAATTTTTACTGCTCTTAAAGGTGACGTCTGACATGCACAAATAAAATCTCCCATAATTAAAATTAATAAGTTACACAGTAAGTTGTATACAAATTTCTAATCAATAAAAATGTAACGCTCTGCTCAGAATCTAAAAAAACTTAGTTGGTATCTTTTATTTCTTTAAATTTTGCATCACCGAGAAAAATTAAAACATCAATTTAATACCAACTTTTTAATATATAACAATATATTTTTTACTCTATCAAATTCCGTAGTGGCTCATCGGTTGTACATAAAAATATTATAATATATATATCGCAATGCGCATAATGTATATATTGACACCTGACCCGAAGATTAGGTCGTCGAACCATGGAGACTGTTTGTATTGTCTTATCCCGAAGATTGTTCGGTTGGCCGGTCAACCGATCGGTTGTGTATAATAATAGTGTGTTGGGTGAAGTCGTCGGTGAACGTGCAATCGGTCGGTTTATATTATTGATTGTGCACCCAGTTATAGACTAAACGATGGCACTGTGTAATTTCTAAGGTCGTATCCATAGAGTTCTTTGAACATGGGACAGCATTAATAGTTTAAATAAGCATTGCTCGGATGTCTATTATAATGGCTGTCAACAGTAATAATAAAAAAATAAAAACCCACTAAGATTAAAAAACTAACGACGTCATTATTTTTTTTTTTTTTTAACCGATTATTATAGATTGGGCGTTATTATCATTTCTGTATGAATAATAGTACATATTATTATCATAATGTAATATTATTATAATACTATGCACACGTATTTTATAATAATAACTATAACACGAAAGCTTACTACTGGTAAATACACTTCGGTGTTGTATACTGTTGCTGTAGGTTTTCCTGGTTTTAAGGTAAACAAGAGCGTTCTCTCTTCAATACATATTATTTCTCTTTAGCAGTTTACTATTTTAAATATATACATTGTTAAACTGTTTAGTACGGAGAAAATTGTTTATGTTCGATGTTGAATTAAAAAAAAACAACAAATGGCCACTGTAGCAGTATACGCACATTATATAACTGAAGCTATATACGCCTATACGGCAGAGGTCATAATTGTGGGTTGAGAAAAATTACGGTATCGAACGAGTAGAAAAAAAATATACGGCGGAGAGTTACAACAGTCGTGGAGGGAAAAAAATAAGTTTCGTTGTTTAGGTGCTCGGTGGTCGTCAGCGATATTTTTTATTGTACGGAATTAGGGTTCATTGGAGACGTATAGCTCTGCGCGTACACACCGAAGCGACCTTTATTATCGAATCTATGTAATATGTTTATGGCGTTGTGTCAGTTTTATGATGATACGGAACCGGATGTTTGCATCGTTTCCGTGGTCATAAATACTCGCTCGTACAGTCTGTTTTATAAAATAAACGTAATCAATGGATTTATTTAATCTAAATCTGAACAACTCGGTCATTGTTGCATGCAGTATATAGGATATAAATGATAAAAATAATAATAAAAGAAACAGAAAACAAAACGAAAATAAAAATACGCGTTGCACACGACTCCTGCTGCTGCATCTTGTAGTACGCCCCCGTTCATATGCACCAGCGACGCATATTTACCATATTAGTTAAATTTACTAGGAAAATTGCCTTGGAATTTATGATATGAATGATGTACAATGTATTGTTTTTCAGATCTAATAATGTAAAAAAAAAATGTCATTTGTTTTCAATATTATTAGGTATATATATATTATATTTATTTGATAAAAACCGTCTGTAGTGATAGAATAAATAATAGTGTTGTTATTTTGTCGGTGAAAATATTTGAGTTTAGATGGTCGACCATATCAGGTGCGTTGCGTATAATCTGGATTATACGGCGAAGGACTCAACAAATTCAAAGTTCTATCTGACTAAGATTTTAAATTTGTTTAATATAATTTGCTTCGCAGGTAGAGGAAATCAACCACTGGGTAGGGTGGGGGGAAGCATAAATACACTATTCCGTTGAACAGTATATAGAGGCCTCATATTATAATAAATAATAATAGTCAATCTCGCCTTATACCTCAAAACACCTAAATCAGGCCACGGGCATGCGTCGTAGGTGAATGAATATTGATGATTTTTTTGGAATATCAATATTTTTGACGGAATTAGTAATATGTGATTCTGCCGGCGACCCTGCCGTTGTGGTGTTCAGCCTTTATCAACGATCCGATCCCTCAACGACGAGACCACGATGGCGTGTAACGGGATTATTGTGTATACGCGGGCTTCATCTCTAGACACCCGGTTAAGACTCCAAGGCTTTGTAAACTGACACCTGAGGGTCCCGGTGGCGGTGGTGGTAGGGGTAGGGCGGTGGTGGTAGGGGAAGGGCGGTGGTGGTAGGGGAAGAGCGGTGGTCAGCTCATCGTCTAGGCCGGTCCGAGCTGGGATAAATAATTAGAGACCTGGGCACGGCCGTAATGGACCCGGCCCGGTCTTCTTGGACAGTGTAATAACGTCTTGTCCAAAAAGGCTTATCTGAATTTAAATGACTCAACCCGCGGCTACAATGGCGTTTTGATTGAATTCCGGGTCGTATGACAACTCCGAGTACAATAATATAATATACATCATTATGTTTAAACCGACGTATATCCCCGCTGGGATTGCAGTGTTTGTATATGGTGTGGTGAGTCGTGACACACTAAGTCCGCGTGGCTCAAGACATCAACGTGTTTCCGTTCCGATATATTATGTACACGGACATATTGTATAGGCGCAACTAAAGGTGTATTGGATAATAAGTCACGAAAAATGTTTTCTCCGACGAGGCATAAAATTGCTGCACGACTGGAAAACTGTTACTTAAACTCGACTAATGCATAGATTTTTGATACTTGCCATTTCAAGGGGTGAAATCCAGTGTGAATACCAACTTCTCTTTTTTTTCAATTGAGAATCATAACCTTTTTTTATCGAAAAAATATTTATCTGATTTTGTGTTTATAAATCGATAAATAATTGAAATCCCTGGCTTAGGGTTATTGAGTATATTTAAAAGTGTAACCATAATTTAAATAAATACATATTATAGTTATAGAAAAAACCGGGAGTCTACATACTTGACGAATTTAACTGCAGAATAAATATATCTTATATATTAATATTATTAATAATATATTATAATTATTATTAATATATATTTCGATAGTAATGTTGATGTAAATTTGTATTTTTTAAAAGCTATTTGGAACTGTGCCAAATTAGTAGTAGAAAAGTGTAGAGGAAATATCCACACAGATTAATAAATAGAAAATATTATGAGGAAAAGTCCCTCCCCCCTCCAAAAAAAAAAAAACGTGGTCCTAGTTGCTCCCATGTACTTGGGTACCATGGTAGCTTTGACTAAAGCCCACACATTTAAACCTAAATTTACCTTATGGTTAAAATATTTGACTTTTTTTACAACTTTTTGTCATGTTAACAAGAACGACCAAATTAAACATAATAAATAAAATATTTTGAACATTAAATTTTTAAAATTATAATCCATCTTATTTTATGATGAGTATTTTGTATTAAAATTCATAACACATTGTAATTCAAATTAAAACTTTTACATTTTTTTGTAGAATTGCGTTAACCATTTAAAGTCGAATTCAGTTAAATATTTCAACAATCCATTAAAGATCAAAAAAGAAAATGTCCTTTAAACAAAATATTAATCGCATACCTAGGTACCTAGTTATTTTTTATCTATGATTTAAGTTTTATAATATTTTTGCGAACGACTGTTTTTATAATACGCGTTTAATGGATTTTCAATACTCCAAAGACGTTTATTTTGTTGACACTTAATGAAATTTCAATCCTACTGCAGAATAAATATTATATACTATATAAATATCTAATAAATATAATTGATGTGTATTTGTGTATTATTTTATTACAAAGCATATGCAAATATACGTTTAGTAAAATCAGGATGTAAGGGAAATTTCCACACATGTTAGGAGGAAAACATTTGAGGGTATTTTTAAAAACTGGTACAAGCTGAGCTCATGTAGGCTCTAGTACACACGAATTGAGTTCCAAGTCAGGTAAACCAATCTTTTCGAACGAATTGCGTCCCGGACGAAATTCATGTTACTATTTGCCTTACCATTTTTTTTTAGTGATTTCCAAATTTATTTTTAATTTTAATTTTTGGTAATATTTTTAAATTTGCTAACAAAAATAATAATAATTAATACTAATTAAATAATAATAAAATCACGATTAAAGATTGTATTAATTCGTTCAAAACGATTTGTTTTGGTACTCAATTTGTGTGAGCCCGTAGGTTCATGCGGTGGTCGCCTAGCCCGC